TTTCAATGAAAAGTAATAGTAGTGGTAAATCTGACGAAAAGTGTATGTTAATATGATTTTTAAGCTTCAGGTCTAATTGTATTCTCCAAGTTAGATATTTAATATAGTTTCACAGAATAAATTGTAAAGTATACACAATCAATCGTCTAGAATGTATTTTATTGAGATTTTTACAAACAAGTTCAGTTTACATCAGCGAATAAACACACATATGCCTGATTTCTTGAATTGATAGTAATTGTTCACGATATACTTAGTATATTTCTAACTTTAAAGTATATTGATAATGACTTGAATCAGGTTATTCAATGATAACTAATCTTTAATATATTGAAATAATCAAAGGTTATAGTTGTTATATCCCGACAAGAATAATGAATGGTAAATGTTGGGATCTATTGATGGACCAATACTAAACGTATATTTCTATTGTATAATTATTAAGTAACTAAATTATGCATATTCATATTCTTCTAATCATAAGCTTTATTTTGACCCATAAATTATTATTACTATACGTTTTAACATTCTTGAGTTATACCCAGTATATTAATTACTACCTCCCTCATTCACAGCCACATCTGGCTAAATCTTGTATAAATGTTGTTTCATATTTTATTGGTACGTTGTGGTCTGTTTGATTGATATATAAACTCAGAATATTTTAAATATAATGATTCATATCGCAGAGGCTTGGACTGGTGTTTTGAACTTATTTGGCTGAGCTAGGCAGGAAGCAGGATCAATCAAGAGTCTAGACTGCTCATACGGATTTACGCATCATTGATCCGATCGATAAGTCACTGTTCTCTAATTGGCGGTCACAATTTCTAACAATTGTTTAGAAATTACATTATCAAACAATTCATTGAAATTACTTTCACTGAATTGAACTTCAAACTTGAATTCTATCAATTTAACCAGTGTAATTTAATAAACTTCTAAACATATTTCCATAAACCTATAATTTAATACAATCTCTTTGAGTAATAAAATCACTTTCATTATTTGTATAATACATCAATGATTACCTCTCTTTTGATATTGTTTGAAAAAGGTTTACATCAGTGATTATATATCACTTCTCTAATAAAACAATAAAGACTTTATATGTTTGATCATGGTTATTACCTTGTACAGTTTTACTAAACTTATTGTTGTATCAATCATTCACCATTCAAAAAAAAACAAAAAACAAAACAAAATTCTTGGTTAAGTTGATTATTTCGGCCAATGTCTATCTATATCAGTAATTCATAAAACAATCTTGCACATCTATATATGTCAGTAAATCTATTACAGTAATTTTTTATGTTATTGTTCTGTACTCTCTGTCTTGATTCTCTTCTCTTTAATTGAAAATGATTATAATTATCCTGTATTGGCACTACAAATCTCTCTTTAGAATATTATTTATCGTTTAAGTGGATGTTTTAGTCATTCTATAAAAAGATTTACTGGTTTCTTCTGATATTACAATATCTGTAATAAGAGTATTTTCAAAATAAATTATAAATCAAGTTTTTTCAAGTAATTTGTTATAAACTGTGCCCTATGTTCTATTAAGATATGACGTAATGATACCGCCAATTAGAGAATAGTGCTTTATCGACCGGACCAATAAAGTATAAAACTCGTACGAGCAGTCTAGAGTCTTTATTGATCCTGTTTTCCGCCTAGCCCAGTCAGGTAAATCCAGAACACCAATTACAGTCTCTGCAATATGAATCGTTTATTTCAAACATACTGGGTTTATATATCAGACACACAGACCACATCGTATCATAAAATATGAAACAACGTCTGTACAAGATTTAGTCAAATGTGGCTGTGAATGTGCGAGATAGACAGGGCATAATTCAACAATAGTAAATTGTATAATAATGGTTCATAAGTCAAAATAAAGTTTATAGTAAGAGGAATATGAATATGAATAGTTTAGTTGTTGAACAAGTATACAATAAAAATATATTCATAGTACTTGTTCATAAATGGATCCCAACATTTACCATTCATTATTCTTATCGGGATATAACATAAGTTATAGTTATAACCTTATGCTTTATATATTAAGTTTCTTACTGTGTCAACCGAATACATTCATCATAAACTGGTATGTTTTTTTTTGTCGGGCTCTTTACTTTGTCATCATTTAGATCGGACGATGTTGCTTGAAAGGGCTCTACACTTTAGTTGCCCGATTTCTGATTCCAAGTAGATCGCATGAATGATCGTTGTCGAAATATATATGTCGCCTATTCTTGTATATAATCATCGACTTAAATCGCGTTAGTCAATAACGGAATTAACTAAGTCAAATGACGAGAATGGATTTTCGAATACATATATTTGTATATGAAGCGAATGGAATAGAGAGAAGTGAAACAACGCACAGTGGAGACGGCGGATATGCCAACTCCATTTAGTCAAGCGTTAATCAATATTTATAGTTACACAAAAATAAGTTACAGACATATGATGAGTAGTGGGATAAGAAGTGTACACACTAATATCCACTCATATAAAAACAGTGAAGATTGATAAGCAAATAATAAACAATGTCAGAATGTAACTCAAGTAGAATGAAGAAATTGGCCTGTCCGATAGCTAGAATAAGATATATGGGTTTAACATATCAACCGACACTACATATCTTTTTGTAATTATCTTCAATATAGAATTTATTCAGTATATTATTAAGTTAATTATTATTAATTAGTGAACTATTCTACTTACCAGTTTGACGTAAACTGATTACATCATCAGACATTTCATTATAATCTTTTAAAGTAATTACAAATACATTTATTCTTGCTTCATAACTAATTGTTTTCCATTGTAGATGATTTTCATGTCTACAAAGATAAACAAATAAACAAACAAACAAATAGAAATCTATAATCAATTACTTGATTCATGTATATTATTCAATAATAAGCAAACAATGATTAATATTTACAATAGTAGTATAAAAGATGCAAGTAAGTGTTAAACAACTACTTGAACATTTCTTCAATGGTGAAATGTTTAAATTATATTTTAAATAAAATGAATTTGATTGATTTCTTTTTTTTTTACTCATATAAAATTTAGTAGTTAAGGAGAAAAATGTAATTTGAAACTAGTTAAATGTAAATATTCTTAATAAACATATTGTTTAGATTAGATGGTGTTTGGAGATAGTTAACAGGAAACCTTGGATCAGGGTTTCATGCTACTTGGCACTCGTCAGTAAGTTGTACCTGTAATCTTGAGGGAACTGATGCTCCTTGATGGATTAGATCCTATGTCATCCAGCTTCACAGTCAGAGACGTTACCACTGAGCTATCCGGGACACATTGCAACCTCGTCGATAATATTCGATCTGCATTAATAAGCACTTGACACATATGACATTGATCACCACCCAGTGATCAATCAATTGTGAAACATATCGTTTACTAGTTAAATGATTAATTTATTAGTTTAACAAATAAGTGTTTTTCTGTTGTTGTTTACAAATGATTAAAAAGCATTGATCGATTAAGTTAAATGTTTATTATACTTAGTTATTATTCATTCAGTTACAAATTATGGTATTGTTTTAAAGTGTAAATGACTATTTGCAAATCCACAAAAACCTCTCTCTGATTTTAATCATCATATGCTCACTAGTGACTGTCTCCAAGATTTATCTCTTGGAGCTCTAGTGAGAATCGGTGACTAGTGGAATTCAACCAGGTCTGTTGTGAGATAGTAACTCAGTAAAGACAATGAGTGATATGTCGCTCAATTTCGTGGGTTAGTTGAAGTTAAATATTAACATCGTTAGATGCCAGCCGGCTCAGTGATATGTAGGTTAATTGTTCGTACGCAAGACTGTTAGATCCTGGGTTCGAATCTCGTGAGGTGGGATCGTGGATGCACACTGTCAAAGAGGAATCCCACGATAGAACGTAACGTTCGTCCAGTGTTTTCACATTTTCCATGATGGTCTCGCTTCAATGATTAAATTACTACAATCTTCACAAAACCCCAATCTGATTATGATAATATTTGTTTCGTTTATACAATATATTCTATCCATATATAAACAAAGTGACTGTACTGTTTGGGTTGTCACGTGAAAGTCTGGACGGTATCTGGTTCTCCTGAAAACCGATGTAAAATTACCCTGGCCCACAAGGGTATATTATATAACTATATAACTATTCAATATACAAAAGTGATGTCATGTATTTTTAAAAATAAATACAAAATAAGATTATAAATCTTATAAACAAATAATGAAAAAGAAAAATAAAAATAAAAATAAACAAAACTGTACAACAAATTGTAGTAAAAATTTACAAGATTAAAATGTAAAATACAAAGAAAAAAAGAAAAGAAAAGAAAAGAAAAGAAAACATAATCAATTATCAATTAGTGTTAATTAATCTAAATCATTTTATAATTAATATCTCAGAAATACACAAATGTACAAATTGAAAATAATATAAAACAACAATTCAATCAATTCACTCAACTATTTAGATAAAATAAGAAACGATGAAACACTAATAACATCATCATCATCATCATCAACAACAACAACAACAGAAAGAAGCAAACGAACAAACAAACAAACTAATATGCCAACTTTATCTTTAATATTGATTGTTTTCTAATTTATATAATTATTAAATATTAAAAAAATTAATTACAAATAATTATAATGATTAAAGATGTGAATCATTGTAAGGAAATTGTTTAAGAAAATGAAAATATAGACAGTCATATGTATAACAAGAGGGATGTAGGAACGATAAAGTTCTATCTATCTATCCATCTATCTATCTATCTATCTATCTGTCTTTATATGTGAAAATTATATTTGAAATAATCTATGCGATTGAAATTTAAACGATCCCAACGTTTCGTCCAGCTAACTTGTTTGGACTTCTTCAGGGTAATGATCAAAATCAAAATCATCAAAAACATTATCTATCTACCTATATATATATATATATATATATATATATATATATATATATATATATATGCCAAATTAATTAACTAGAGATTTCTCTTCTTCCGGTTCGATAACAATGTGATCGGGTCAACAGTAACATACAAAAGATTTGAAACTTAAAGACACTTAATCCAGATTGAGGGACAAAGTGAGAAAGAGAGGGAGAGAGGGAGAGAGACAGAGAGGAAGAAAGTACATAAATACTTGTTAACCCTCATGATATATACTATTCGTTCTTTTTTTTATTAGGATACTTTTTCTTTATACAAAAAAAGAAACAATCAAAAACCGAACGAAACATCTCATAGTAGAATGTCATAGTCATATATACTATTTTCATTAAATCTTATGATAGATACTGATGGTAACAATAAATCTTAATTAAATGAATAATCGTTTTAATTACGTAATCATAATCATAATAATATTGATAATTAAGAAATTAAAACAAAAGCAAAACAAAACAATAATAGTGAAGTCAATATCCAATGATTGAAAGATAATGTCAAAAAAAGAAATAATAATAATAATAGTAATAATGATTAATCAGCTGTGACAAATCAATTATGATATGATCCATAATCTAACAAGATGATATTGTTAAGCAAAACAATTACAATGATTCCAAAATCTTTAATTGTTAATAATGATTACATGTTATATATAAGCACCGGTTCAATTAGTTTTTAAAACACACACACACACACCCAAAAAAACAAAAACACACCCGAGTAAATAAAATTACAATTTTCCCATATCATATTAATCATATTCCATAATAATTAAATTGATTATTAAAAATGAAAATTATCAGTGATTAATGCCATCAAATTAGAAACCACTCACACGCACACGCACGCACACACGCACGCAAACATACAGAGTAAGACAAACAATGTAATTAACGTGAATAAATAAACATATTTATACGTAAACACGCCCACGCAGAAACGTTTTACAGGTATGAAAAACAAACAAACAAACACGTAAATAAATAAACAAACACAAATCATTGAATAATTTGTATAATGGCAGATGAGTTAATCAATATATGAAAAAAGTAAACACAAGCAGTTAAAAACAGTGAAGCAAATTTACGTTTAATCAGGTTATTATTATTATTATTATTATTATTATTATCAATTTTTAGGTAATTAAATATGAACAGAATTGAAGAGATAAAAGAAAAGAGAACAATATGAAGTTACTGTTGTTGCCATTATTATTATTATTATTATTATTATTATTATTATTATTATTATTATTATTATTAATATCATTATCAAAGAGATAGAAAACAATTTTATTGATTTTAAATGAATAAATATTTACTATGATCAGAAATAATTATTAATGTTGCATCAATGATATATGTATATACCTATATTCCATATAGGATAAACTTAGATCAAAATAGAAAATCTTTATTCTATTTTTAATAATATGGAAAATATATAAAAGTAGAGAATATGTAGTATTTGCTTTTTTTTGTTATTTGAAATAATTTTAGAGAATATTTCACAGAATAAACAATTTTCAATGATAAGATCATTGTGAATATCAATGTTCGGATCCAAATATTTCCAGCTGATTTATTTATTTATTGGTACAGGGGGGGCACCAAATAGATATGCTCCACATAAATCATTCGATTTGTGTGAGGTCTGGGATACTCCCCGGGTGCTTAAACCGAAGCAGGTGGTTTTATTGGGCGGCCACACCCAGAGCCTTTGACCTAAAGGACTGACCCACAAGGCAGTGGAGCATCGTAAGGAGATGCAGTGTCATGGAAGTCGGTGACCAATGATTGGTTCATACGCCATTTGTTCCTTCAGGATACTGGAGCCCATGTGCACCATTGGTTTGAAATCAGGTGGATCCTTCATATCCACCAACCCGGTTATGGAGCCAGACATCCGCTTTTCGACCTCTCAATTTCATGAAGTACACCGCCTCGATGAGAAGACAGTTAGTAGTACTTCCCTGGCAGAGGCCAGTTGAAAGCGGATAAGGACACATTCTGGATTTCATTATCAATTATAAATGGAGATAAACATGAGAAGAATGAACAACAATTGGATAGAACTAGAAAGGAAGGCTTTAAGGCAGAGGGAGTTGGAGAATGCTGGTCGGCGGCCTATGCTCCATTGGGAGTGACAGGCGTAAGTAAGTATAATTCATCTATACTACAATAACTGGTAACAAAATGATCACATTCAATTAATCTCTACAAAACGCTCAGGTAGTAATAAAAAATGATTAATATTCAATTCGCATTATTAACATCAAAATCATTCAAACCTTTACTAATAGGGATATAGAATTATATCTCATAGTTATGTTTCTCTTTAGTGACTATCAAATGAATAGCATCTATTGGTATATTATTTGTTAACTCTGTCCTCTATAAATACTGTTGGTCACTGAGCTCAAAGATTATTAATTCGAAGAAATTATTTTAATAGTTGATATCAAGTTTCAAATGAACCTAGACAACCGAAGAAAACCTGGAAGCACTGGAAGGCCATTTCATCCTACTGAGGGACTCCTCAGCAGTACGCATCCATGATCCTGCCTCTTGAGATTCGAAAATTTCATTAAAAAAGAATGAGTTATCTACTCTCAGTGATATCTATGAACTATCTAATTTTATTTTATTTTAACAAGTAAAAACTGAATTACAATGACCTTGGTACTGATAAGTTTTTTAAAAAAAACTATGCTGGTTCCTGAAACCGTCACTATTCCTAATTAATTACAACTCTAAACGATCAATAAATTAACTACGTGAATTGTATTTGTTTTTCACAGAAAAAAAAAGTTTAAAATCAGTTTGTTAAGAATAATAACCATTGTGATAATGCATTATAGTCAAAGATGGATGGTGGCTAGCAGTGCAATCAAAGACGCAAGTTTCATCCTATTTGGGACTCGTCAGATGGATGTACATGCGTCTAAGAGTTGATATTCAATTTGGGACTCAAACGCACTACTGAGTCCAGATAGCCACTAGTTTGTGCCATGGCGTGAAGTTTTAATTTATTTCTGTATTGGTTGTTTGAATTTTCCCACTGTTGTACAGGACTACAGTTAATCAATCTCTTCTTAGCATATGTGCAACCAGTGCTTACTGCCTCCACATTTCCCTGAGTCATAAACATTATAAACAGAATGGTACTTGGTTCGAATCCCAACGTGAACAGGATGCAGGTATATCCAGCTGACAAGTTCCAAATTGGACGAAACGCGTGTCCAGTAGTACACATTCACAATTTTCACAAGCCTACACGGATGATCATAAAGTGATTAAATGTCATAATATCAATCACAAATTTCTGTATACTACACGCTATGAGTACTTATTCATAAAATAAATACATAACCTATAAATATATTTGATCCGATCACAAAAAGAAGTTATATGTAATTAATTGTGACTTTTCTATTTACCAACAGCTGAGTAAAGTGAATAGATCGAACATATCACATAAGGAAAGTGGGATAAACAAGAGTTTCGCTAACATCACCAGTTATTTATGAAAGCTTACACAGACAAATTATTCTACATAAATTATGAAATGTACATAGTTGAGATTATAAGTCAATTGATGCTAGACCACCATGAAAAACCTAAAAGCACTTGACGGCCATTTCGTCCGAGTATGGGATTTCTCGGCAGTGCGCATACACGATCCCACCTAGCGAGATTCTAACCCAGTTAAAAAATTTACACCATTGGATACCGGCTCAGTGGTCTAGAGATTAAGCGTTCACGCGCGAGACTAATAGATCCTGGGTTTGTATCTCGTGAGGTGGGATCATGAAAGCGCACTTCTGAGGAGTCTCGCAATAGGACGAAACGACCATCCAGTGTTTCCAAGTTTTCCATGGTGATCTAGCTTCAATTGACACATGATCTCAACTATTAAAATTACCATAATTTCCATAAAACCCCTTCTGATTATGAAGTTATTTATTGAAATAATTTATTTCTCAGTATATTTTGACACGGACAATAAACATTAGTGTTCACAAACCTTGATTGTTTACAGTAGATTATTTCTAACTAATTTTTTCCAACCTTCTATATGATGCTAATTCACTATAAAAATATAAATAATAATAATAATAATAATGATCATACAACTCGACTGTACTGACCACATCGAGTGATCTTAAGAATAACACTACTCATTTGTAGTCCTTTTTAGATAATAATTAGAAAAAAAACTGATCAAAATCAAGAGAAATTATCAGTACAGATATGATGAAACTTTAATGTGGACGGTGCCTTTACATATCATAAGGTTTTCTAAGTGTTCTAAATGGTTTCTATTTAAACCTTGAAGCAAGTCCTTGTTTGTTTGTTCTTCTGTAAACATTCACTTATCAGAGAAGAAGTTAGTTTATATTTAGGTACTTCCCTGTATAATAACTACTCTATTATTCATTATCTTTTTCTGGTTAGTGTATTTTTAGTGAGTTACAAGATACAAGTGTTTATGAACAAATGCCTACGCAAAATACTTCAGATTCGTTGGCCAGATACAATAAGCAACAACCTACTGTGGGAGAAAACAAACCAGATCCCAGTGGAGGAAGAAACGATGGAAATGGATAGGACACACACTGAGAAAGGCACTCAACTGCATCACAAGGTAAGTCCTCACATGGAATCCTCAAGGCCAAACGAGAAGAGGAAGGTCAGAGAACACACATCGAGAAATCGAGACAAACATGAGGAGAATGAACAAAAGTTGTATAGAACTAGAAAGGAAGGCCCGTGACTGAGTGGGTTGGAGAATGCTGGTTGACGACCTATGATCCATTGAGAGTAACAGCAGTAAGTTAGTAAGTAGTAAGTAATTATTCATTGAATCCTACGTTTCACAGAATTTATATTTCAATTATTGATGATCGTCAAAATAAGGTTGTCAGATTACGATCTGATAGTGATGTAAATGAAATATTGAATATTTCATACCACTCTTACAATACAAGTGTACATTCCAGTCAATGTACCATTAGTATCATGAGTTAAATACGGGTTCACTTCAAAAAAAGAAACAAAGAAACATATTTCCATCAAATAATGATTCTAACAAGATCCTTCTGATTAAGATCTTGAACCGATTGATGCTAGACCATCATTGTAAACCTGAAAGTACTGGACAATCATCTCGTCCTATTGTGGGACTTCTTAGCAGTGTGCATCCACGATTCCGTTCGCAGGATTCGAACTCAACGACTTCGGTCTCGCGCTCGGACTCTTAACCTCTAATAAGATCAATATCTTTACGATATCATAATGAAAATATTTTCTTTAGAATCCTATAAGTCTTTAAGATTAAACAAAGTTGAATCTTTTCAATGATGAATACTGAATACTAAAACAAATCGTAAGTTATCATCTTAATTAATAGTGTTGTTTATTTCCATTGATTACTTGAATAATCTTTATTGAATATCTGTTGGGGACGTTAGATCCCTAGAACTTATTTAGAAAAGGACCTAATTTTGTAATTTTATTTAGAAGATTAGGTCCTTTTCCAAATGAGTTTTGGGGATCTAATGTAACCAACAATATTAAAATTATTCAAATTAAAAAAAAAGTAATGTAAATAAACTTACTCGTTAAGTGTTACAGCTGAGATAGGTGAACGTGTTAATTTTTGTATAACTAATGCTTGATGTGAACAGAATACATCAATTTTTGATGGCATTAAACGACATGGTTCACCATCCATTTGCATAGGGATAACAATATCTGTTGTAAGATGAACACGACGACATTGACAAATTCGATCACCATGTCCACCTATTTGTAAAGTTGCCTAGTAACAATATATAGATTGAAAAGAAAATGTAATTTAAGAAAAATATTATAAATGATTGGTTGTCTGAAAATGAATTCTAAAGAGTTTCTCAACTTCATATATATTGAGTAATATGTTTCTTTTATTTAGATAATCTAGTCTTTATTATGAAGTAATTTTAACTACATAACCATATAAAACTAAATATTTCATTTTCGAACCTAGAAATCACAATCTCATTATATGTAATTGCTAACTAACAGACTTCTCAGTATTGAGTATACATGACCGTAACTAAGGATCAAAAATACTACCTTTAGGTCTTGCGGTGAACGCTTAATATCTAGGTCAGTGAGCTAGAGATGAATGGTTTACATGTTCAACTTCAACAATTAGATAATACCACTCAACCGTCTTCAAATGTACCTGGTGGGTAGTTACTTCACACTGGATGCTTTTAAACTGAATTGGTCATAGTTTCTTAATAAAACTTTAGAACAATCGCAAAATTAGTTACTAGTGAGCATATGATGATTATTAGTAAAGGGATTTTGTGGTGACTGTTTTTGTTTTCTCATTGTTTTCAAGGATAATATTTTGTATGATTCTGTTCTTAGCGACCTGTGTTGATACATTTTATTAGAAGTTCCATCGTTAATTTAATGTCAAAGAGGTTTCAAAGCATTTCCACTACGATATTCTAATTTAAGCATGACAACAGAAAAATAGACGTATTTTTTTAATATTCTGATATGATTTCAACGATATAACAACAGGTAGGATGTAAAAGTGCTTCAACTTACCAATGACGTCGATGTAAGACCTATGACTTCAATATATCCATCATCAATTCTTTGAGGTTGAAATTCTGCTGTTGGCTGACCCCATGGTAAGGTACCAGATCCATATCTATCGAAAATAAGATTAAAAAAACATGCAAGTAGGAATCTGCGTTTTTATGATGATAAAAATGTGTCAATAGCCAGATAGTGAAGGATACAAACTGAATAAGATGAAAAACCTCAAATAAATACCAGATTTGAAAAAAGTTATTAAGATCGTTTATTAGGTTATACCCATTAAAGAAAGGGATAGGGGTGTTAAAAATTCCTTCAGAACACGTGAACTGGTGTCAAAGACTCGGATCTACATACTGTCTACTATATGTAGGAGACGTGATCGAAATCCATTAGAGAAAACTCAAGCATACAACGGATCACTCGAAACGATCATATCATAGAAGAAACCAAATCTTTTCGAGTTATTTATTGTATGATAGAATCATTTTTAATGAGGTTTTCATCCTGTCGCCTACTTTTAGAGGCCTCTGTAGAGATTTGAAGTTACATGACTTGTTTATGTGTTCAAATGAAACTTCTTACACTCTTGTCTCTTTCTTGAAAAGACATAACTCAATAAACAATTTTATTGATTTTCGGGTTAAGTAAGCCTTATTACTTCATAAGACGAAACTGACAATGATTATTATTCATCAAATAAGAAATAAACTTGTTATCAATTATTTATAACCTTTCTAAATAAAGCGTCTTAATACGTTGCATTATCATATATATGTTATAAATTAAGCTTTTTGCAATCGAATCCCTAAAAGGTATTGATAACTAATAATAATAATAATAATAATAATAATAATAATAATAATGTGAGGACGGTCCATGGGTGAACGCGGGGAAGCTCTAAGAAGCTCAGGAAGAGCTGAAGATATTCCATCCAATCACCTTTTGGAAGAATATCCTAGAGCTCCTACATGTAGCTTCCCGATCGGACAATGCTAATAACCCTCTGTATGTGGATTGGAGAACTGTAATGATGATTTTGTTTCTTACTAAAAGCTATAAATAGCTGACATTTTTGTACTTTAATTGACACTGTCTGGAATATAACAGTCCTTTTACTAGTCTTCTGTTTTCTCATTGCGACTTGGAAGGGTTCTAGCGTTCTAGTGCTCAGGTTATACGTGGTTTTTCAAGAATATAAGCATCGAGATATAAAAAATAATAATAATCAGTAACTTTTTACCACGGTAATGATTGACTTACCTTGGAATATTTAGAAACAATATACAATGTGGTTTCAAGCTACGAATAAGTGGAGTTAAATCTTCATCATCACACTATGATAATAAAAAAGAATAAATAAAGTTTACCAAAAATAACTTCATTTTAACACAAGTCTAACATTTATAGGTAAACTTTCAATATAGATAAATATGATAATGTAATTACTAACAAGTTGAAGATGATCAAAAACAACCATAATTCAAATGAATAAATTGGAACAGTTCAGTTCCATTTGAAATGTATGCTGATAATTTCTAAGTAATGTTAATGGTTGAAATCATGGGTCAATTAAATCTAGACCATCACGGAAATCCTGGAAACACTGGACAGCCTTTTCATCCCATCGTGGTACTCTTCAGCATTGCGCATTCACGATCCAGACTCTCAACATTCGAATGCAGGATCTATAGGTCTCGCGAGCAAATACTTAACCATTAGACCACTAAGCCGGCCGGCATCAAACGGTGTCAATGTCTAACTTCAACTTATCCACGGAATTGAGCGCCACCGTTCATCATTGTCTTCAGTGAGATACTTACTATCTCATAACAAACTCAGTTGAACCTCACTGGTCACTGCTCCTCACTAGAACTTCAAGAAATATATCTTGTAGCTAGTCAACAGTGAGCATATGTTGACTAATATCAGAAAGCTCTTTGTGGATATTATAGTAATTTCACGTTCGTGCACGTGACTAATAGGTCCTGGGTTCGAATTTCATAAGGTGAGATAGTGGATAATCACTACTCAGGAGTTCAAAAATACGACGAAATGGCCGTCCAGTTCTTCCAGATATTCCATGATGATCTAGCTTCAATTAACTTATGATCTCAACTATTAAAATTATTAACTCTTCTCAACTATTCTATTCCCTATTTACTTTATCCATATATTTTACTAAAACAGTTTTTGTTTTTTTATTTCAGTTAAAATAATAATCATAATCAAAACATAATGAATAAATAAATAGCAACAATTAAACTTAAACTATGATTATGATCGACACTTAACTCACAATTAAAGAAAAAAAAAACAGAAAAAAGACATCACAAAACAGAGTAATTATTATTTTTTTTCTTTCGTTTTTTTCTCTTTTTTTTGAAAATAAAAACAATAAAATAAAAAATCGTCAGTTTTCTTGCTTTTTCTTTTTTTTTGTAATTTTTTCTCTCATTCATTCAATTGATAATTAGTGAGTAAAACGTTTTTTTTTAAAAAAAAAAGAAGAAAAAATAAAGAGAAGAATCTCATGATTTTCATCACGGAATAAATTAATTATTAACTCAAATTGAATTGTACAATGCTTAATGATTAGTGCAAAAGAATAAAGGAAAACAAAAAAAAAGAGAGAACTAGAAAAACTATTTAAATTCTAGTGAAACTAAATAGACTAAAGAAAAAAAAAAGAAAAAAAACATGAAAGAGAAAAAAATGATGAAATGCAATAGTTCTATTGAGGAAAATTAACATTTGCATAGTTGTATTTTTATACTTTTCTTTTTAAATAATAGTTTGGTGCTTCTGTTCAATGATCTCTTGGCAATTTCTTTTTATTTGTTTGTTTTTATTTTTATTTTTACTTTTTTAAATAATAAAATAAAATACAGATTCTATGTGAAATTGTTAATTGCACTGAACAATCGCTTACAATTTTTTTCTCGGAATTATAGACGAGACAGGAATCAAATAGAAATGATTGATTATTGATTGAGATTATAAACTGATTAATATTAGACTACCATTAAAAACCTAGGAGCATTGAACAGGCCGTTTAGTCCTATTGTACGTCTTCTCAGCAATGCGAACCCACGATCCCATCCCACGGGATTCAAACTCAGGACCTTCATTTTTGTGAGCAAACGCTCAACCTAATAGACCACTGAGCCAGCCGGCATCCAACAATGTTGATGTTTAACCTCAATCAATCCACGGAATTGCGTGATCATCTTCTATTATACTGAGGTAAATACCTGACTCTAACCGACAAAAATTAACTCCACTGGTCACCGCTTCTTACTAGAACTCAGAGAATTCCCTCACGAATTTAGTCACTAGTGAGCACATGGTAATCATCAGTATGGAGTTGTGGAGAATATTAGGTTTTCAATTGAAATCGTGAATCGATTGATGTTAGACCACCATTGAAAACCTGGAAGCATTGGACGGATTTATGTTGTTGTGAACGAGAACATAAGTGGGTACAATCAATGTTTATTAAAATTACAGACTTCTTTCTTAAAATGTAAAAACCATATATATCCAATGATTTATTTACAAATCATTTATCAATTATCTCAAACTTTATGGTTCTTTTATTGCTATTATAATTACACATCGTTCCTGTTCTTTTCATATTTGATCTTCTCAAACTTCTGCGACCAGACATTCCACTTCTGATTAGTGTTATATACTACTTAGTTTGATATAAGTAGCATACACCACAATAGTAATATTAGTCAGTATTTTATTGTGTAATTTTATGTATTACATTTTTTGTTTACAAATTAATCAATAAGATTGATGAATTGATATAATGTACTAAATATCAATTAACGTCACTTATATTCGGTCATTAAAACGTTAATTATGATAAAAATTATTTAGTATGGTAGTTACTGATAATCTCTAAGAGAAGTACCTAAGATAGAGTAGATTATTTTCATTACAATAGTCTTTGACATCACACATTTATAACTATACACATTGATTAATGTTTGGAAGGAATTATGTTATTCATTTGCCTTAACAAACGTTCGTGGTTTATTTGCGAAATGGATAGTGGATAGCAGTGGACTCCAGGATGCGTGCCACATCATCCTATTTGGGACTCGTCATCTGGATGTACCTGTACCTCAGAGTTGATATTCACTCTGGAACTCGAACTCAGTACCGTTAGCTATCCATCTTTATATATAATGCTTGTGAATGAAGGCAATATCGAGGCAATGTGCACAGTATGCACATATGCCAATAAGAGATCGATCAATTGCAGTCCTAAACATCATTGGGAAGACTCAAACAAACAATACCAAGTGAATTTAAATTTCACCCCATTGAACAAACAAGTGGCTATCAGGATTCAGTAGCTAAGTAGAAAATGTGATGGCGTTTGAAGCGGACAGTACTGAGTTCGAGTCCCAGAGTGAACATCAACAAGTCTGAGATGCAGGTACATCCAGCTGACAAGTCCCGAATAGGATGAAACACGCGTTCTGTATTCTACTGCTAGCCACTATCCATCTTTGCTTAGAATGCTTGTGAATTAAGGCGATATCGAAGCAATACGCACGGGATGCACATATGCCAATAAGAGATTGATCAATTACAGTCCTGAACATCAATAGAAAGATTCAAGTTAATAATACCAAGTGAAGTTAATGGTTTATATCCACTATTATCAGTGGATAGATTTATAAAAATACAGATAAGTAGGATTCATTAGTTCTCGATTAAACAATAGTGTTTGATAAAGGCTTTTGAACTGTTCTGTCAAATTTTTATGATCATCTATTTAAATGGTAAAATAAGTTGATGGAGTTCATACACTTTCATTATGTAGTAATTCCTATAATAATTACTTCTACGTATTCAGAGAAATATATGAATAACTAAAAATAGGGTTATTGATCAACTAATATCTTTATGAATTAATGAAATAACCTTATTTTATAATGATATTAACCAGAAGTATTGAATTGGTGCTGAGGAGTCCTACATAAGGATGAAACGGTCATCCCAGTGCTTCCAAGTTTTCCATGGTAGTCTAGCTTCAATTGACTCATGATCTCAACTATTGACATTACTATAATATATCTATAAAACACCTTCTGATGTATATTAGTTAAAATGTGTAAAATATGTCAAAGCAACTATCAAAAATAAAGATAACAAGAAGTAAAGCTAAACTGAAATCTACAAGTTGTAATGTAAAAGTTATGTACAATTATATGACAGAGACATTGTGAACAAAAAAAAGTAGTAAGGTATGATATTTCATCAATTTAAAATTTTGTCAGGATGTTTCTTTTTGTTATTTATATCACAAACTGGTTTAAGTTATACATACGGAGTAATCGCTTTAAATCACCTATGCCAATGATGATTATGTCACTGCCAGTGATGAATTTTGAGAAGACGATTTCAGAGTTCTAGTGAGAAGCTGTAACTAAAAAAGCACAACTGAATCTAATATGAGGCTATTACACACCGAAGGCAGTAGAAAATGGTTGTCTATTATCACTAATTGATTAAAGTTGGATATTTAAACTCTTACACGATGGTTTGGTGATCTAAAGGTTAGGCATTTGCTCACGAGACCAAAATTCCTGGGTTCAATCAATTGGTGTAGTCGTTGATTTGCATTGTTAACAAGTTCTATGCTAAGATTAAACAGTTACCCAGTACTTTCTCGTTACTAATAGATATCCAACTGAAGTCAGTTCATGATATCACTATAATATTTCATATGTAAATAGAGATACCTTTAAAATAAACATTTTAATAACTAGTAGCAATGGAATCCATGAAATACATTTCATTTTATTTGGAATTTGTCAAACAGATTTACGCATATTCTATAGTTAAACAAGCAACTACCCGTAATATATGAATGCATACACTGAAGAAACCTATATTATCAACGAAGATTGATTCTATTCCGTCTGGAATATCAAAATTAAATATACACAAATTCTTATGTGTATCTCTTAATCCGATGAACTTCACTTAATAAGTCTTTCCTTCAAAAAATAAAAAAAAAGATTCTTATTAATACATCAGTTATTTTACTCATCGATTAGTATTCTAATGATGATAATGGCGAAACTATAATTTATGAACGAACCAATCAGATACAAGATAATAGATCTCGGATTTTCGGCGCAAAAATCACTCATTCATTTAATCAAATAAAGTTTCGGCATTTTAGCTGATATCAGTTCGTGATGAAAACCTTAAATCTATATCAGAATTCTAATTCCTCACATTAGTTTATAACCTTCATTTGATCCTAGTTACTAGGTGAACACTCTCGAGGTCGCTTTAGTACCACTCAAATGGTCATTCATATTTAATAGTCTTACCATAATTATTCTTTTAAAGTAATAATAATGTCAAGTAAACTAAATATTAACTATAAACTTACAATAAGTGTAATATGTTCCGATAGATCACGCCAACTTCGTCTAAGTAGATCTTTACCACCAAGCTAAAAAAAAAATCATGTAAAAAAAGATAAATATTTAAGTATTTTTTTGACTGAGACCATGAACCGATTAATGTTAGACTATCATTGAAAACCTGAAAGCATTGGACAGCCATTTTGTCCTATTATGGCTCAGTGGTTCAGTAGGTTAAGCGTTCACTCACAAGACTAAAAGACCTGGGTTCGAATCCTGAGAGGCAGGATCGTGGATGTGCACTGACAAGGAACAGTCCCACAATAGAATGAAACGGCCTGTTCAGTGCTTCCAGGTTTTCTATGATGATCTAACATCAATCGTCTCATGATCTCAATCAATAACTTAATAATCTCCCCAACTCCTATACTGATATATATATATTTAAATAATCCTTTTTTTCTCCTCATTTTAGATAAAAACGAAAAACAAAACATTAATGAAAACGTTGATAAGTTTAATTTACAATATGTTCTATATTAGATACGATTTATTCAATTAATTAATTGATATTTACAATGATGTAGGCATACAACAGATGTGTAATATTTCTTATTTTCGAGTAAATTTCAGACAATTACTAAGTGATTATGGAATGAGTCAAGTATTTCAATTTGAAGTTACACATTGATGTGTTTTAAAAGTTCTCTTGAATATTCATGAACTTACAAAATAAAACTAGTTGTAGATAGGTTCGACTGTTATTGTTATTGTTGAAGTGATAGTTTGACTTGTTTTATTGTGATGAACTAATCGGATCATATTGTTGTGAATTTATGACCCGTTAGTTATCATGTAATCTACTCGATAATTAAAATACGACTTATTCGCCCGTGTACTTTACTAAACTAATGACGTCCGACCAGTTGGATTAGCCTAGCATCCTATTGGTCTTTTGCTCACCTAGCCCATCTAGTTGAGTCTAGAATACCAATAACAAATCTCATTATGAGACTCCTTTTATTTCAGACATACTGGGTTTATATATCAACCAAACAAATCGCAACGCACCATAAAATAAGAAATAACATTCATACGCAATAAAGCCAAAAAGTGGCTGGGAATGTGGGAGACAGTAATCAATAAACTGAGTATAACTTAAGAGCAGTAAATCGTACAATAATTATTTATAGGTCAAAACGAAGCTTATAATAAGATGAATATAGATATACATAATCTAATTGCTGAATAGTTATACCATAAGAATATACAGATAAGATTAGTCCATTAAAAGGTCTCAGAAGTTACTCGTAATTTAATCGTCACTGGGATATAACACATATACCTGAGATAATTGTTTCTCAAGGTCCTATCATGCCAGGTAGATTGTTTGAAGAGTAGTAAGACTAAAAGGAAGCAAACCCAAGGTCCGAGGGAGAAGTTATGCCGCTGACTATCCAGAGGTTTGGCGGCAGTAAGGTGTGTTTTTCAGAGAACCAGCATAACAGCAATACTACCTTCCAGCAAAGGAAGGGTGAGGTTATAGAAGGTTGACCCTAAAAATACAAACCTCGCCTTTTCCCACAAATTTTGTCTTCGGCGGTAAGGTTTCAACAAGTACGGAGCTAACACGAAAATTACTCACAAAAAGGTCGTGTGTGACGGACCTCAAGCAATTGTCCCTTGGGCACTGCGGTCATGCTTTCAGGTCACTAAGACCACCTTTTGATCCAATTTCCTTTTCAGGTAACTCTGGAAGAACCCTTCCATGGTGTGGGAAACCGGCAAGTGATAACCGCCCTCATACCTCTAAAAACACTCAAGACTGAATCAAATAATCTTAGCTTAACTACACTTTGATAATTATATATAAATTGCGAAAAATTTAGGGCTCTATATTAAATGATCGAAATTAGACGACAGTTAATCTTTATCAGTTGGTACTCGTCAATAATGTCTGCCACTAATCTTTATGATAAGTGATAAAATCTATAATATATGAACTAGGGTCACACCTTTTCACAATTTAAAATGGCGAATAGCTGCTGCTTGGGCAGTACCAAGTTTCTGTTATCTATGACCAACATTGTTAAAAACTGCGTTATTTATTTAGAAAAACAGCTATATTATTTATTCCAAAGCATCCACAGAACATTGGATGGATCGATTTTAGTTTGTATGTTCTATGTATTTTTTTCATATCAAGTTAGAATAAAAGGATCCATGGAAATCCTTAACAATGACAACGCTTAAAAATAATAATGATGAGAAGAAGAAGTAATAGACATGGTACTTTGGTTAGGAATGATAATAAATAAAAAAAAGGTACTGTACTAGTTAAACTTGTGTTAATTTAATTCAGTGATTTATTTACTCTGAAGAAGTGACTTACATTAAGTCACAAAACATCAGAGATACAATTTTCTGCTCATGCAAATAGGACAAAAAAATTTATTTATTATTAGCTTTCCACCCAATATTCAATCTGTTCGAAATCGTTAAGTTAAATCATGGCTTTGGTTAAAACTTTTTTTTATTGTAAAACAGTTGAAATACTTTTAACTTTCGGGTGGAGATATAATCAAAATGAAGAGGTGGACAATGAAAGGTTAAAGGTCAACAATAACCAATCATGATCGAGGTCGACAAGACAATGTATGAGTCATATGTAAAGAAACTGGAACACTTCATTTCTACCTGGAGTTTGTGTTGATGACGTTGTTCAGAAGTATAATGAAAGCTCCATGATTATAGTATTCAGCTCAGAGAATAAAACTCTACCTAACTCAACCACTTGACATACACATATCCATGTTTAACAATGAGACAAAGTTAAAATTAATTAATTCATCTCATGCTGATCTCTTTTAAAGTATACAAAGATGATCATATGAAGAGATTAAGAATTAAGAATAAAACTGTGGATTGAAACAGTACATCATAATGTTTTGCTACATTAATTATGAACTTGATTATCATGAAGTACTTTGAGAATTCCTAAGTTAAGATAAACTTAATTTAGTTTTGTTGTTGAGCTGATTAATACATCTGGAATGTTATCAACACCGACTGGTACATAAGAAATACATTTAAGTTTACGAAAATAAAAACAAACAAATATCTCTTTTTAATAGCTAAGATCATAAAACAATTGAAGCTAGATCACTATGAAAAACCTGGAAGCGCTGGATGGCCTTTTCGTCGTTTCTTTGTCAAATAAGAAAACAGTTGTTTTTAACATAACGCTATATTAGAATAAACTTTGAATATATTATCTATGATCACATTTATTCAATTACACTATGCTACAACATTTCTGATTAAGATACTTTAATTATGTGAATTGTGAGGATGGCCCGTTGGTGAACTCGAGGAAGCCCTAAAAGAACCTCAAAAAGAGCCCAAAATATTCCATCCAATCATCTTTTGGAAAAAAATTCCAAAATCTCTACGTATAACTTCCCTATTGGGCAAATGCTAAAATCTCCCCTTGTAAGTGTATTGGATGATTATAATGATAATTTCGTTTTTACTAAAAACTATAAATACCTAATAGTTTTGTACCGTATTTGATTCTTGGAGGGTTCTAACATTCGACTGTTCAAGTTTTACATAGTATTTTATATTTATATTTATTTGAACACATAAATATTGGTACAAGAGGGGTCTCCATGATGCAACTGGTTAGCGCATTCGGCTATTAACCGAAAGGTTGATGGTTCGAGCCCAACCGGCGGCGGTATATAGTATATCAAGAATCTAAGCTGTAAATATAACATGAACATTGTTATAATAATGTTAATTTAGAACAATTGTTTATTCCTTAATTACATTTAATTACCCAGTATAAATGTAATCAAAATCATCTATAATATTTCAAAATAGGATTATGTAATAACATAATATATTGACTTACTCCAGCGTAAAATAATTTATTTTTTAAACGACTATTGAATCTTTCAGGATTTGCTTCTATTAAGTAAATAAAAGAAAGTAAATAGGAATATATTAGTTATTAATTATAGATATATATGTTAATGAAGTTAGGGCAAGCCAAACCAAAACGTGGCATCAGTGTTTGAAATCACTAACTTCTAGTCTGAACCACGTTGATAGATGCAGACTACTTGGTTGAGGTTCACATGACTATCGTAACCAATGGTTGAAGACTCTGGGTGACATAGCTCAGAATCGATCACAATGGCGTAGGTGTATACACTTTCTATTTTCCCTTATACTATGAAACTAAAATTATTTCATATCTTTCTTTCTACGTACTAAATCTTTCTTCCTGTACTAAATCCTTATATGCATTCTTTATTTTATATATGACACCATTGAGTTAACTGCTTCTATGAATCCGGTGTTTATGTTGCTGTGCTAATGCGGTATGGTAACTTGGGCCGATGCATATATGTGCCTGGTCCAACGTTACAACTGACTGACTGACATATATCAATGATTGTTTTTCTGGAAAATATAGGTCTATAGGAGGATAGAAAAGATTACATCATAAATGAATCCAAGACTATAAAACATATAAGATTACATAGGAATCAAGGTGATTGTAATAATCTTAGAAGTTGAATTCATTAGTTAATCTAAGCTAGACTACTATTTAAAACCTAGAAGCACTAGATGGCCATGTATATGGACACTGTTGAGGAGTACTATATTAGGACAAATCGGTTGTCCGGTACTTCTAGATTTTCAATAGTAATAATAGCTAGTATTAAAATCCAAGAATTAAGTTTTATCTCATATACAACACATCAGCTGGATGAATCTAACACATCTCATTGTTTTTATTCACACAATGATATGAACTCAGCACCTTACATTTCAAATGTTCAATGGATTATCGATTAAACTAAATACAATATTTTGCAAAAGGCATGAATTTTATTAGTTTTATTGATAAAATATTGAATCTTCTAGTTGTTAAGTGAACATTAATACTAGACATATAGCGTTATCCATCATATGAGTCGCATATAGAGCCATACAAGAAGCCTAGATTACACTGCTATTCACTGTTCATTTTCACATAAAACATTTGTAACTTAGTATGTATATTAACGCAATCTGCTGAGGATGGGTATATTCAACAAGAGACTGGTTGAAATTCAGTCTTTGATATTGACAACGCAAAGATTTAAAAACAAACAAATGAAGAAAATGAAAGATAAACCAGTCGAAGATCACTTGAAATATATATAAATATATAGCAGATTAAGAACAATGAAGCGGTTATTGATACATAATCGATTACATAATAAACATAAAAGACTGAAATACTTTTACAAAATTTTAAAGAATCAAATGAATAATGAACAGGTGAATGAAAGAATAACTTAGTGTATATGGAATAGTAATTAATTTAGCAAGGATTATATAACAAAACAAATACAATAAAAATAATAATAATGATCATTGCAGGTTATATTAGTTAGCGGTAAATTGATTATTGTCTATTTCTATACAGATTCATTTGGTTCGAGTCTTGTGATTGTTATCGTAAGAACAAACTGTAAATCATTATCAAAAAAAAATACGAATATGTGTAGTTCTAATGTATGTATTACAAATTAAATATTTATAAATGAAATATTTGAATTGACCTAGTCTCTGACGTAGAACACATTATATTAGGAATTGGAAGCAGACATGAAAAATGATAAATAGCAACTGGAAAGGATTTCCTAGGATAGGGTTGGATGGAGAGTGTTAGTGGACAGCCTATGCTCCTTCACGAGGGGTAACGGGCGTAATTCAGTAATGTTTTGAATTATTAATCCTATTAAATTGTTGCATATTTAAGAATTTATTATGAAATATTTTACACTCATTCTTAATTAATGATTATATGGTAACTATCTTATAACCAATTTCGATTATGGTTAATTTTGGTTAAACCCTTTTGATAAACTTACTTAACAGATAATGTTATTTGAATAGTAACTATTCTCATATTTATTTGTAGCGTTATGTTCACTAGATCATATGATAGACTCTGGTTAAAGTATTGATTGCTTAAATATCACTCAATGATTCATCCTCCTCTTCCTTCTCCTCATGTATATATGTACTCAAATCCTATTATTAGTCCTTGCTTTGCCTTTCTGTGTCCTTATGCAATTTGACTAGAAATTTGCCTATGTAATTGCTTGCATATATTCTCCACTTGAAATTCGTTTATAACTTTGTGATCTGCTCAATCCTCTAATAAACTATAGTTGCCACTTCTCTTTGCTTTCTGATTTCAAACACCATTGAGATTTATATAATAACGGTTACAAGGATGATTGGTTAACGAAGCAAAGCCACTAACAACATTTGAACTTATGAAAATGGCCATATTATACATATATACATATAACTTATATATATTCAAATCAATTGTCAAATGATTAACAATTAACACAACTATCTACTGTTTTCTCAATGTATAATTACTCATTGATAAGTAATATTAATGTGATTCAATGATAAAACCCCAACAATAACAACAACTCATCAGTCAATCAATCAACCAATCGTTATTATACGATTTACTATTCTTAAGTTATTCCAAGTTTATTGATTACTGTCTCCCACATTCACAGCCACATTTTGTCTTGATCATGTATAAATATTATTTCCTAATGTATGGTGTGATGAGGTTTGTTTGGTTGGTATATAAACCAAGTGTGTTTGAAATAAATGATCTGCATAGTGGGATTTGTTATTGCCGTTCTGAACTCAAATGGACGGGCTAGACGAACAAAGGACCAATAAGGATGCTAGGCTGCTCATACCGGTCGAATGTCATTGATTTGGCACAGTACTAAGATTGAATAAGTTGTATTTCGATTGGCGATTGGGTTTGAAGTCACAACAGTTATTTGGTTGAAATACAATGATGAAATTTACAATTTATTTTTTTGTATTGTTTATTTGAATCTTCTCATTGATGGTTAGGACTGCAATTGGTTTTTTTTTCTGGTATCCTGTGCGGATTGCCTCGATATTGATTTAATTCACAAGCAGAGATGAATAGTGGCTAGCAGTGAATTCAGGACGCACATTTCGTCCTCTTTCGGCCAGTAATAAATTAAAATTTACCCCAATGTAAAAGCTAACAGCTATTTGGACTAAGTAGCTAAGTGGATAATGTGATGGTTTTCGTAACGAAAGGTAGCGGGTTTGAGTCCTGGAGTGAACACTAAATCCGGGATGCGGGTACATCTAGATGATGAGTCCTAAATGGGACGGAACTCGCTTCTTGGATTCTATTGCTAACTACCATCAACTCTTTCAATGAAATTCAAACTTTTACAATGATTAACTAACAGTTTACTTAAAAACACATGCTGTGTACATGATAATCATTCCTCTGCTTATTCTCTTCATCATACTTACTTACGCCTCTTACTCTCAATCAAGCATAGGCCGCCGATCAGCATTCTCCAAGCCATTCTGTCCTGGGCCTTCATTTCCAGTTCTATGCAATTTTAGTTCATTTTTCTCATGTCTGTTTCCATTTCTCGGTGTAATGTGTTCTTTGATCTTCCTCTTCTCCTTTTTCCTTGAGGATTCCATGAGAGGACTTGCCTTGTGATTCAGTTTGGTGCTTTCCTCAATGAGTGTCCTATCCACTTCCAGTATTTCTTCCTCCACTATAATCTCGTTTGTTCTCTCCCACAGTAGATTGTTGCTGATAATATCTGACCAACTAAACCGAAGTATTTTGAATAGACAGTTTTTGATAAACACTTGTATCTTCTAGATGATAACATACAAACTAGAACTGTCTTGACATTTGTATTAAAAATTCTAACTTTGATTTTGACAATTGATAATTGTTTTGAGTTCTAGATGTTCTTCAATTGTTGATATGTTGCTCTTGCTTTACCGATTCACGCATTCATATCTGCATCAGATCCACCATGTTCATCAATGACACTGTCCAGATATATAAAGGTTTTTAAATCTTTCAAAGTTTCTCCATCAATTGTGATTTGATTGATGTATGCTGTGTTGTATCCGACAATCTTGTTTTTTTTTTCCATTGTATATGTTGAGATCTACTGCTTCTGAGGCTATTGCTTCACTGGTCGACTTCTTCTTAATTAGATCACTTAAATTGATATTGTTTTATTCAATTCCATGATATTTGATGAAGAGATAATGAATAGATTCAATAAACGACTTTCTTTTTTTTTTTCAAGAGAGTAAGAACAAAGATTGGTGCAGAATCTTGAGACATTCATCATTCATTTATCTATTCATTAATACTTAAGTAATATTTATGGATAGACTAATGTTCAATGCATAAATGAATTGAATTAGTAAAATGTTTCTTTGAAAAATGTAGATGATATTATATTTTGGTCACAAATATTGGATAGTTATTTTCTAAAAAGTTATATACCCTTTATATTTTTATCGTATAGTGAAATACATTATGACTTGTGGATCTTATGATTTGAAGGAATATATTTTTTTCTGATTTTGATATTGATTGAAAGACAGTTGTTTTGAGTTCCATATGTTCTTCAATTATAGGAATGCTGTCCTTACTTTGCCAATCCTCGCCTCTACGTCTGCATCTCAACCTTCTTGTTCATCGACGATGCTTCCCAGACATGTGAAGGATTTAATATCTTCCTGGGAAGCATCATCGATGAACAAGGAGGTTCAGATGCAGATGTAAAGGCTAGGACTGGCAAAGTAAGGGCCGCATTCCTACAATTCAAGAACATAGGGAACTCAAAACAACTGTCTTTCAATCAATATCGAAGTCAGAATCTTCAATAGCAACGTCAAGGCAGTCCTACTGTACGGAGCTGAAACGTGGAGAACTACTACAACCATCATCGTCAAGAAGGTGGAAGTATTTATAAATAGCTGTCTACGCGAGATACTCACCAACCATTGGCCGAATACAGTCAGAAACAGCCTTCTGTTGGAGAGAACAAACCAGCTTCCAG